ACACCTTGTACACGCCTATCAGTTGCACAGCTTGTGCGCGCCTATCACTGCACACCTTGTACACGCCTATCACTGCACACCTTGTACACGCCTATCACTGCACACCTTGTACGCGCCTTTCAGTTGCACAGCTTGTGCGCGCCTATCACTTCACACCTTGTACGCGCCTATCACTGCACAGCTTGTGCGCGCCTATCAGTTGCACAGCTTGTGTGTATTTTTGTGTAATTGTTGTGTGTACGTTACACAGCACGGGGCTATAGAAACATACAATATCCTACCTTGCCGTGGAGAAGTGGAAAACGTGTAGATGATCCGTTCAGCAGATCTGATGGCAAGTCTCCCTTCTGGTAAGGAGAAATTAGCCAGCTGGTGTAGTGTATTCTGTGTGTAGACACTGTGCACCCTCCACTCTGATTTTAACCAGATGAACACTGTGATGTTTGAACTCTGCCCTACTTTTCCAGTAGAACGAAATAGCTCGACAATTGATTCACCTGTACACAGGGCATGTGCAGCACATTCCACTCGGTCACATGACATGGTGAATATTACCTATACATACCGTATTTTCCGGGGTATAAGCCGCACTTTTTTTTCGCTAAAAATCGGACCAAAATCGCCCCTGCGGCTTATACACCGAATATGCTTGCGCGAATGAATGCTTAGCATACATCAGTATGCATGCTGACGTCATGTGACATGTCATTCGACTCAGCTTCGCGCCTGTGTTGCTGATCAACATCAGTGGCACTGGCAGCGAGACTGAAGATAGTGCAGATGACATGGTGTGATCTGTAGTCAACACAGCAAAACACCAACATTTCTACAGCAACCTGTGGTGCACTAACACTTCATAATCTGATCTAACATGGTATTTAGCTCCATAACCATAATAAATTTGTAGAAAGGCCATTTGTCAATGAGTGTGAAAAATCTTGGTTTGTGGGTGCGGCTTATACTCTGAATACCAACTTTTAGTCAATATTTTGCCTCAAAAAGGGGGGTGCGGCGTATACCCCGGTGCGGCTTATACCCCGGAAAATACGGTAGTTGTACGTCAGCACAGTCATCAAGCAGACACAAAGCTCCAACATCCCAATTGACGTATTTATGTCTATGACACTGGAGATCTACATGCAGGACCATCCCTGCCCGCACCACTATCAATATGCAGGACCATCCCTGCCCGCACCACTATCAATATGCAGGACCATCCCTGCCCGCACCACTATCTACGGCTGCAGACAAAGGACATACATCTTGCTTGTTTGCTTCTGGTCATTCCTGACTACGGGTGCATGCAGACCAACACTATCACATAGAGCATGCCAGTATGGTCAAGTACTGCCATCACTTCACATACATCTATGAATGTGCAAGTACTGCCATCACTTCACATACATCTACGAATGTGCAAGTACTGCCATCACTTTACATACATCTACGGATGTGCAAGTACTGCCATCACTTTACATGCATCTACGGATGTGCAAGTACTGCCATCACTTCACATACATCTACGGATGTGCAAGTACTGCCAGCACTTTACATACATCTACGAATGTGCAAGTACTGCCATCACTTCACATACATCTACGGATGTGCAAGTACTGCCAGCACTTTACATACATCTACGAATGTGCAAGTACTGCCATCACTTCACATACATCTACGGATGTGCAAGTACTGCCATCACTTTACATGCATCTACGGATGTGCAAGTACTGCCATCACTTTACATACATCTACGGATGTGCAAGTACTGCCATCACTTTACATACATCTACGGATGTGCAAGTACTGCCATCACTTTACATACATCTACGGATGTGCAAGTACTGCCATCACTTTACATACATCTACGAATGTGCAAGTACTGCCATCACTTTACATACATCTACGAATGTGCAAGTACTGCCATCACTTTACATACATCTACGAATGTGCTAAACCAGCAACAATCAAGAACTGTACAAGGCACAGTACTAACTGCAGCAAAGTCGGCAGATCAACACCCAAACAACATGCACATGCACCAAAAATAGGAAATTGTACAGAAACAAACATTGCATTCTGTGTTGTGTGATCTCCAAAGCTCATGTCCAGGCCTTCATTAAGTCCCATGAAAATCTCCTCATCGTTCAGCTAGCAGGGATGTCAGTGGGGAACATTATAACTTACACTTGTGTGCGGTTGTGCGGTTGCTGATATACCCACGTTTGCACACACACCGGTCTTCACCAGGCACTGCCACCAAGTTGTAACTGCTATTGCAGTACCCTGTAGCAATGAACACAGAAATACATTACATTGTAACAATGAACACAGAAATACATTACATTGTAACAATGAACACAATGCACTGTTTTTCCAGTCTAATGGCTGGCGCAGTGATAACTTCAATTGAGTAGTGCTTGGATTGAATATGTACATGTGTTTTGACGACTAAGAGGAGCCATGCCAAGGCAAAAATGTTGCCTTTAGCCTACTCCGTACGAAGTGCAGATCTTTGGAACAGAACAGCAAAAAAGCCATAGTCATTAGGGTGCCCCTGGGTGGTTTGGCTGCTCTTCACACAGGTGCTGTACATGTGGCTGCGCTTGTAGCTCATCATTGTACATGTGGTTGCGCATGTAGCTCATCATTGTACATGCGGCTGTGCTTGTAGCTCATCATTGTACATGTGGCTGTGCTTGTAGCTCATCATTGTACATGTGGCTGTGCATGTAGCTCATCATTGTACATGCAGCTGCGCGTGTAGCTCTTTATCGTACATGCTGCTGCATTTGTGTCTCTTTGTCGTACCTGCTGCTGTGTTTGTGTCTCTGGGTCGTACATGCTGCTGACCCGTGGTACACCCTGCTGTGCTGTCTTTGAATGCTTGGTACATGCGGCTGCGCCGTCTTCTGTCCCCTCCGTCCGCACTCGTTCTTGTGTTGTCCCCGTTGTATACGCATTTTCTCATCTTGTCTCCTTTGTATTCGTCCGGTAGCCGTCTTGTCTCCGTCGTATTTGATCGTTTGCCGTCTGTCTCCCTTCCCGTTCGGGACTAGTTGTATCACACACGAGCGCCAATTTCGCCTCCACCGCCCCACGTTTTCCCACGTCTTTATAATATATTCCCTTGCCTTGTCTTGTCTCGTCATCTCATGAGAATAAGAACAGAAAACTCTCTCTGTGTACGGAGAATAACTTGGTCTTTGGCTGTGTGGCGTGGTGCGATCACGCTTAAGGAAAAGTTCGTCGGCAGTCTAAGACGACATTCGGCGCCCATTATTATATTCCCTTGTCTTGTCTCGTCGTCTCATGAAAGTAAAAAGAGATAATTCTCTCTCTCTCTCTAACCGAGAATAACTTGGTCTTGGTCTAACTTGGACGCGGTTGCGCTAGAGGAGAACAGTTCGTCCCAATCATTGACGACATTTGGCGCCCAACGTGGGGCTCGAACCCATGACCCTGAGTTTAAGAGTCTCCTGCTCTACCAACTGAGCTAGCCAATGTTGCGTGTTGAGGAACCTGATCCCTGGTCAAGTAATCACGCAATTAGCATGTAATTCCATGCCTGTGTACAAGGGCAAGCTGTCAATTATCACGCCAATGTGCATACATAATAGTATGTCGTCTATGCCCAGGTTTACGCTGATAGGCCGACATGCCTATCCCCGCGGTCACGGTGTACAGTAGATGAGTTGTGCAAAAATAAATCCTAATACAAGTTCAAATCAAAACTGGGGTAGAGTCAATCAGACTGCCTTGCTCTGTTCATCGCTCAGTCAGTACCTTGCTGAAATCCTGAGCAGAACTGGTCACACCAAGAGTACATAAAACCAGAGTGTGCAACTCGGGATGGTTCCTGTGGGAGTGTAAATTCGTGCAGTACGTCATTTCTGATGGCATGGTAACTTAGTAAGCCACAGGTACGGTGAAAAGTTGCGTAACCAGTCACGGTGGTGCAAGTCACTGAGTTTGTCCTAATTTCGGTTTTTTGATACGGATAGCCTGGTGAATTTACTTGCCAGCGGATGTACGAAACGCACGCAGTCACACAAAAGCACCGAAATCCTAAAACAGGACGTCTAAAATCTTGGCTGATTTCCGAGCTGTGGAACACGAAAATTTGAGCTGTACGCAAATCGCGGCTTGGCTGACCTCATCAGGGTGACGTAGTGCACGAACTGGGCTGTTTCAGATCTGATATGTACAGTCGCACACTCTGGTTTATGTACTCTTGGTGGTACATATACAGTAGAGTTTTGTTTGTTTGTTTGTATTCTTTATTTAGAGTGGGAAGTCCAAAACAGGCCCTAGCCTTATAACAATGGTCCCACTAGTGAGGGAATGCTGTATATCTGTGCATAAGGATTAGTGAGTTTAACAGTGTAACAGTGAGTGTAGGTTGATTTTATAACTCTTTGCATGCTGGGCTCTTTTCACCTGTCCACTGGCTTTCGAGTGCATTGAACCAGCTGGTGGAGTTTGTGCGCACAGCATTTCTGGTTACCTCGATGGATTTTTCATCATACTGGGCTTGTTGGAAGGATCCGGACTACTGAAGTAAGAGAATCCATACTGGTAGCTCTCAGCTCAATAAGCACATCGGGGTCACTTCCACGTCCTCTCTGAACTACTTCACGCGCCTCGGAATGGCACAACAACTCTACCTCACCTTCTTGTTCGTCATCTTACTCAACTTCAACCGGGCTTTCACAATTCAAACTGCGCTGCAAAGATGAGATCCAAGCGCTTCCTATGATGCTCATCACGCACGTGCTGCGCCAAAGTGAAATCCCTGGCATGCTCCAAAAAACTGCGAACTCATGGACAAAAAAATCGCGACAGCTCTGAGCAGTAATTTCCATGTTCATCTTGGTGCAGCTCGGTCAATCTTTATCCTATCGCAAAGAACATTATATCCCTAGGAAGCTGAGCACAAGATCTTCCCAACGGTGTATAACATGTCATCCGAGTGCAAAATGTTAATAGAGCAGGAAACTTACGAGACACGCAGATGGTGGGGCGTGCTGCGGTGCAGGAGTCTCCTAGTACTTTATCGCTCCAAGCATTATACACCAAGCAGTTAGCTGACTCGTCCCTACCGCTGGTGTAGAGGGGTATGGTGGTAACGCTGTTGTCTCCCAACACCTGAGATGAATTCAGGAGGTGAGAGACGCAGCGGAGTTGCCGCATGTCTGTTGGTAACAGCCAACCGCTGTATTGTTCGTAGCACGTCTGGTTTGCATGATCTGCTGAGAATGAGATGCTATGGTATGTATACATGTGTGAGTCACACACTATAGAAGCTGCTTGTGTATCTACAGCAACAAACAACAGTAGAACAGAAATGCTATCAGTTGCATGTCTCAGTGCTAGACTGTATGCAGAGTTAAATTTTCTAATGAAAAAGTACTGACAAGAAATGTGTTAGGAATGTAGTATGTAGCCCAACAGCTTCCTCGGACCAATACCATTCACCCCTGTACCCAGAAGAATGGAAGTTATTGGATGTTTCCTCACACTGTCCCTTGAGCTCATACAATATATTAGTATCTTACTGGTATTCCTGCCGCATACGACTGGGTATTGCACCGTGCAACTCGATCCAGCCAGTTGTAAAACTTGTCCAAAAACTTGGACGGAACACTGGTAAATCCCTAAATTGAACGTAATGAGGCTGTCAGAAACTTCCAAATTGTTCGCAGTATCACGGAAGTGAAGTATATCCAGCAATTTCGTGTAGCTGGTTTGGACTGCCACATTGCCACTGACTGCCGTGTTTCTAAGTGCTCTGACTATGATGGAATTGCAGGCTGTGAGTTGAGGAGAACTGGCCAGGTGGCTGCCGAGTGTCTGACAGAACTTTTCTCCTGCCTCCCAAGGTTTGGTGGTGTTGGTAATGAACACTTCACCTTCATCACCACAATCCACCCACGTGTTCACTGTAATAAAACAAAGAACATCAATGAAATCCCGTTGAGCAAAATATAAAGCACTGCAAGTTCTATGTGTGTGTGTGTGTTGCCCGTGCCTCTTTAGGAACATGTGCTCTGTGTGCGCTTGGTCCGCACGGGCGGTGTGTGGACCACGCGCGGACTGCGCAGATTGTGACGCAGCGCGCATGCGTGCATTGTACACATTCTTGTTTTTCTGTTCCTTGCTTCTTCCTGAGACTCTCCTTGGAGTAAGACTAAGATAATCAGTCCTCTGTTTGTGGTGTACGCGAGGAAATGCGAGAGTACATGTACTCGGAAGGGCCTATTGTCAGGGGAATAAGATAGTATAAGAACGCTTCGACGACAATCGGTAGAGCATGAGACTCTTAATCTCAGGGTCGTGGGTTTGAGCCCCACGTTGGGCGCCAAATGTCGTCGGGGGGGGGGGGGGTCTTACCCAGCGCACACAGAGCACATCTTCCAAAAGAGGCACGGACAACATGTGTGTGTGTGTGTGTGTGTGTGTGTGTATGTGTGTGTGTGTGTGTACATGTGTGTGTGCATACATGAGTGCTTGTGTATGCATGTGCGCGTCTGTGTATGTGTGTCAATCTGTCCGAAGGTTACCTCCTTGCCAAAGCATTAGGAAGTTTGACTAATTTTGGCTCCACAATCCAGTGTGTCGTTACTATTTCCAGTGAGAAATGTAAATATAACGACTGCTTTCCCCTGACAATGGGCCAGGCCCGACACTTTGTTGAAAACTTCACGTGACGGATGCAGCAAAGACACCGAGGTGGAGTATTTGAGCAGAGGGACCCTAATGAGGAAGTAAATCTAACGCTTTAGCGAGTGACATTTCTTCTTTCACATTTCTCCATTATAAGAAGTTCCGTTACGGACTAACGTGGTCCCGCAACTGACCATCGACGAGTAGACCACAAAACACAGAGAAACTCATTCACATCAACATTACGACTCGTTTCAACAAGAACAAACAACACAAAGAACAACGATCGTCAAATCGCTGTCCTGAGCAAAACGTGCACGCGTGCGTGCATTTGGCTTGCGCCGCATGCACACAACGTACCCATGGAGATACTAAATATGGTGCCTGCCAAAGTTCGCGTGCAGCACGGAGTACTCGAGTGTAGGTGCAACGAAAAGAAAAGCCAGAATATTTGACTGCAGAACAAACAGAAACTGACATAATCTGCTGAAGTGAAAGGATGAAGAATAATAGATTACGGAGGTGAAACGTTGCCTGTCAGAGGGTGCTTTCACCCAGAGACAGGGTGACAGCACACCCTGTCAGCGAGAATAAGTTCTACAACATAGAATAGATCGCAGCGGAGTTGCCGCGGATAGCGATAATACGAGTCCATTAAGTACAATGCAACTGATTGGTGTATCAACAATTCTACTTGTATAAAGCACAATCCACAAGATGTTCCGCTCGTGAACATGTTGTGGTACTATCTACGAACACGCATAGCAATTACTGTATCGTAAAATGTGTCTCGACGTAAACACATCATATCGTACTACTCGTAGATGGAACAAATATGCACTCGTGATGTAAATGTAAAACATGCACGAATTGTAACAAACATAACAAATACATATCACACTTGTGAACTTCATAGCAGTAATACACACTGCACGAAGATTACAATACTGCACCTGCAACATGTGACAGTTCTGTACACAATTTGTAACTACAATACACTGATAGTATTAACGTGCAACATGTGACAATTCCAAAGAATAATGTTCAAGAGCGCAGTCTCCTGTCCAAGTTCTGTTGACGTGTTTTAAGGCCCCATGCGTATTATGTGCGGATATTTATATAATATATTTTGAAAGGATTGGGAGAACTTCAAATTTAAAGGATCAATCAGGGAAGTGAACTGCCTGAAAATAGAAAGAATGCCAGACCAACCAGGACTAGATCATGAACGCAATCGGCCCATATGTTGTAGTCTTTTGGATGCTGAGTCGGCTGGTTTTGGTCAGAGAAGGCTGCGATGCAGCGCTCGGCCCTTATTCCCGATCGAATATGGTTGAATGAGCGGTCACGTGCTCATGTGTACACCAGTCGCCTGGTCACCGTGCCTGCAGGGTACAACTTACAGCCTGTTTGAGCGCGTTCCTGTCACTCGAGTTGAACCTTAGAACCTTTGAGTTGAACCTTGGTGTGAAAGTTGAAGCCTGCAGGCACGGTGACCAGACGATTGGTGTACGCATGAGCATAATAATAATAATAATTCGCGGGATTCGCGTTGGCATCGCTTGAATGTTCAGAAACACACAAACTAGCCTTCGCTTCCGCAGGCCACCACTATGCCTATGCCTTGCACACCTTAGTGGCGAATGCAGACCTCACAAGTGAGTCAGGGGAGAGTAGGTGAGTCTCTCAACCAATCGGGCGTGTAACGGCCCATAACCCTGTAAACTGCATCCTTGAGCATGTGACCGCTTATTCAACCATGTTCGATTGGGAATAAGGGCCGAACGCTGCATCGCAGCCGTTTCGGACCAAAACCAGTCGACTCAGCGTTCAAAATGTTGTAATTGTAACACCATGTTGTAAGTGTAACATTACTTCTCCATCAGCTCAACCGCCACCACTGGACTGCCTTTTACACTCTTTTTATTGCAACAAGCAGGACCACGGAAAACGACTACATTTTGACAAGACGACAGACCAAAGACCAGCTCACACAGTCTCGCGCATGCGCACAACACCACCAACCAATGACGCGTGTGCACAGTGACCAAGACGAAACAAACACGTGACACCAAATCTACCACAAAAAGACTACAATATATGGGCCAAGCGTGGTCATCCGTGCTTTTATATGGCGCTTTTAGTGACATTTTGCATACAAATCTCCATCTAGTAGGGCGCATTCCCCCAGTTTCAGTTTCAGTGGCGAGTTCGATTGGGAATAAAGGAGGAAGGGCGCGCCTCAGCTTCCTCGGACCAAAGACCATTCGACTCAGCACCCCGAGGACTGCAATTGATGAAAATAATTAATTATTTGATTTTAGGTTCCCCTTTAAAGGGGAAGTTAATCCTAAAATCAAATTTTCACCAGTTGTAGTCTTCGGGGTGCTGAGTCGAATGGTCTTGGTCCGAGAAAGCTGAGACGCCCCCTTCCTCCTTTATTCCCAATCAAACTCGCCCACTTCCACAGAAACTGGGTGACTGTGCCCTACTAGATGGGGATTTGTATGCAAAATGTCACTAAAAGCGCCATGTCGTTCTTATAAAAGCACGGATGACCGCGATTGGCCCATATGTTGTAGTCTTATGGACGCTGAGTCGACTGGTTTTGGTCCGAAAAGGCTGCAATGCAGCGTTCCTCCTTTATTCCCAATCGAACATGGTTGAACAAGCGGTCACGTGCTCCTGCGTGCCCAAGTCACCTGGTCACCGCGCCAGCAGGCGACAACTTTCACACCAAGGTTCAACTTCGAATGACAGGACTGCACCCAAAAAAGGTCAAACAGGCTAGTAAGTTGTACGCTGCTGGCACGGTGACCAGGTGACTCTGCATCACGCAAACAGCAAAGGCACTACCCCACACAAGAGTGCCCAACTGCTACAAGAGCAGGAGCGAAATACTCGATCTATCTGAAGTTAAATGTAGTTAGATAGGACTTTGCTCTGGGCATGAAAAATTCTGTCGTTATTCGCGAACTGTCGTTATATCCCTAGTCGTTATTAGCAAAGTTTACTGTCTGCAAGGGGTGTTCGCGGTGGTTCCTTCTTCGAGGGAAGCCATCTGACTTTCCGAGAGATCATTTTTCTTTCATACTGATGGGCCCAGGATACGCCTCAAGATGTTGCCATCCAGGAGCTTGGCATGTCCAACCATACTGTAGTCGACAGTGACCTCGCCACCCAGGACATCGTCAACAATCCCCAGCAGCTCGGCGGTGTGGACGATAATGGTGAATCCGTCATCGTCGAGATCGATGAAAGCAAGTACTTCCATTGCAAGTATCACCGCGGCGCCTGACATGAAGGGCACTGGGTGTTCGGGGGCATCGAGTGACACTCTGGCTGATGCATGATCAAGGTTAGTAGCATTATTGCGGAAGAAAACACCGCTGGCTCCCTGCTCCGCAGCATTCACCGGCAGTACCCAGTCTGATCTGTTCTGATGAAAATAAAGTCCATGTCACCAGATACTGTGTTTTTGATCTTGGTTGGCAAGGTTACTGGGGTTCATGTACTCTCAAGTACGCGTGGCAGTTCACAGAATACCAGGAAAGTTCGGAATAATTTTGGGACCCTAAACTGCATGATTACAGAATGAACTACTGTAAAAGCAGAAATTTTCGGTGTTGAAATTTTTTCGGTATTCTCCAAAATCGGCGGTTCGGTGGAGGGAAATTTTCGGTAAACCCGTTTCACAGGTAAGTGTACTACAGAGGAGATTGGATACAACGACCTTGGATATAACGACAGATCGGGTTTAGCGACAAGTTTCTGTTGCCCAAATCCTTCAGCAAGCCCTTTCTGTACATTATAGATCGGGTATGACGACCTCGAAAATAACGACAGATTGAATTTACTGACACTTTATTGGTGCTTGAAGACCTGAAAATGCATCAAATACAGTCAGTATCGCCTATAGTGTTGGTCTTTGATTTTGAGCATTTTATCACTATAAGCGATATAATTATTACTATGACCGATACTGGCTGCATGATTGTACTACGGTATGTGAGTGTGGTATGAAAAGACTCAGCTTGCCATACACATACACACTGCATACTAGTAGTTGATTGCAGTGTACTGTACATGCTGTGTACTCATACTGTGAGAAATCAACACCCTATCATCAGATCATGCCTGTGCAGACAAGGCTACTGACACACAACATCAGCATATCCTCATCAAGGAGGCAATTCGGACAGCACCACTGAGGACTACTGAAAGTAGAATAGAAGCAAATGAAATGTTGGGCTCTTACTGCGAGCTTCATTCTTATTCATAGCTTGTGGAGCTATTTAGGGGCTTTGGGAGCCCCTTTCTGGTACCTAGAATGACTGATCTTTGGTTTTTATAGGGTTCCGCCACCTGTTGACAAAGGAATATCGTACAGATGAAAGAGTATGGGAGGCAAAAAACCGAACACGCTTCTGAAATGCGTAACTTTTAGTAGTACACCATACATTTTATGCAGAGTTCATTATCTGCACCGTACTATAATGCATACAGGAAGTTGTACGCACCAGTTTAGAGTATATTCAGCGGGCTTTAAACTAATCCAAGGCTCTCAACGCGTCCTCAAGAAAAGCAAAATTACGATTGAGCGGGCTTTAAACTCTGATAAGGCCCTTGGCCGGAATGTCGCTGATTGGTCGTTTCCTGGACAACGAGACAGACCTCGTTCTCAACATAGTTATGGCAAATGAAAATGAATTTGAGTAGTTGATCACTATAGCCGCCAACCTTATAGGCGATACGTACTACTGTAAGACATGTATATATAACGAGGAAGCAAATCTAACGTTTTAACGGATGACATTTCTTCGTTATAATAAGATCCGTTGAGGCCGTACTGCTTCATATATGCTGTGTGTGGATATGGCAGAATACTGCAAGATCGTTAACACATCTTCTCGTTAACCTATGAATTTTGGACAATCGTTAAATTTGCGACTCGTTATAATAACATGTCTTACAGTATATAACGACTTTCCTCTTGTAGCCAGTGCAGGCTAAATTTTATTTTTCAAGGAAACCCTTCGAAAATGGTACCAATCGATTCAGCATGGCATTTTCATTCCTCCTGCAAAGTTTCAGCTGATTTGGAGTCATGACAAGGACGCTATGGCGATTTGAAGATCGAAAAACTTCACTTTTGTTTGTCAAGAAGAAAGTACATGATCGCACACAAATCATACAACCCGTGTGGCACAATGATTTTTGAACGAAGTTGATCCGCGGACCCCGCGGCCCGTGCTTCGCGCATGCATGCATGCATACTGCATGCACACACACAGTACACTGTACAGAGGCTTTTTTGAACGCAGATATGTAGTTCTTCGTCTTCTTCGAAATGTCTTCCAAATGCGTGGTGCTGATGTTGTTCTCAGCTTCGTCAAGGCAGAATGCAGCTGCATGTGATGCTCCTGTGTGTTCATGCATGTTCTCTTTTCGCGTCTCGACATTGTAGCGTCCAGTCTCAGCTCGACTGGAGAAGATTGAGGAGACTATGCTTTGATCCACATGGAAAACTCGATGAAATTTGGTAATTATCGTCGGGCGCTAAAAAGCGCTGGGGAGCATGGGGCTAAAACTTCGTAGCAGTCATCCCTACCATGACAGGCATCGACTGGTATATGTTCCATTCTGTTCCCAACCACTACGGGTAGTCTGCGAAGCTTTCTTCTTCGCCGATTCTCGGACAGATCGTACGTCTTCGCACTGTATCTCTCGTCTCCCTCAACGGATCAAAACACGGTTTTCGCCAGGACGAACACAAACCCCCAGATTTCGCGGCGGCAACATCTTCGAGTAGGGAAAAGCTAGCAACTAACCAGGAATCGCCAAAAAACACGTGAAATACTCAGTGTGATTTGCGACAGCTGTCATTGTGCCGTCGCACCATGCATGTACCATGCACGGGAATGGAACACGGATGAGTCGTTTTATTACGACAGCCTGCACTGGCTACCTCTTGTATCAGGCTGAGTGGCATGCATGACTGTAGACACATGTCTGTGTCACATGCCCAGACCTCTGGGCCACTCCACGCGTGCTGGTCATTGCACATTGTAGCCACAGTTCAGCGGTGTAGTTGCTATGCACGACTTTTGGCTTGAACTATGCATGCAAGCCACATGCACACACGTCTGGAATCCATATGCATTATATTATGCACAGGCATATCTGCAATGCATTTCTGTCATTTTTATATACATGTACATATTGCATACTATTTTGTGAATTTCTGCTTTTACAGTGCAGTGTTGCTCAATGAAATCCAGTCGTGTCACTCAAGTACGCGCTGAGCGTTCCGCAGCCCTAGACTTGAGAATACTGGGCTGTGAAATGATGCAAGGCGCAAACCTGAGGGACGCAACTGGATTTCATTGAACAGCACTGTGTAGTGTTCTACATGTAGTACATGATTGTATTACTAATGTAGTGCTACATGATCTAACCAGATATTTTCTTACCATTCTGCTGCTGGGCCGTACACCTGCCAGCATATAACACGTACAACAGCAGCTGAATCAGAACTTTTGCCGATGCGTCCAAGCGCCATCGTTGTTGACCATTTGCACTGCCACTGGTCACACGTAGCATTCTGAATTCTGGTACTTGACGTTCCACTGTCAAGATGAGCTCTTCCAGTTCCACTTCACCACCAATAGTAAAAAATACTTCTAGTTCTAGCTTTCAGCAAGGCTGCCTATCAGTCAATCGACTAGAATGTGTTAGATTTGGTGGACGGATCCAAAACTACCTGATACGATACGTGTACACTGACTGTTGCACTACTGTAGGCGACAACCACCTCCGTGGTTTGCAAAGAATAAGATTTCGCTGAATCAGATTTTACTCAAAGGGTGGCCAAAACCTGTCTCACTAGTTGTTCGTCTTGGCCCTGTCAGGCCTTCACCTCTAGACTAATCTATAGAGACTGCACTCTCTATCGTTCAGGATGAGAAAATGCTCACTGGTCCTGCGAAACAATCCACACATAGCCTTGCAGCGTACGGCAAACCGTAGTTATCGCGGACAGCCGAGCAGCAGGCAAAAGCCACGCGCGTGGCTAGGCGCGCAACTCGGGGGTGTCTGGCATGCAACGGCGGGCAACCGTACTAGGGAAAGCCCAGGTTGCACCATGAGCAGTGTACGCCGCGCCCACATGCACAGGCGAGACTACCCCATATTTGCATGAAGGTTGTACAAGCTACAGTCCATTTCAAAACTATACGCGTACCTTCTATTATAGGCAAAAACCGTTATGCCAGCATCTATACCACATAAAATCTGTGATCACTTTGTGCATAAATATTTCCAAATTGGGCGTCTGTTATCCAATCCTTTAGAAACTATGAGAGTAACTAGCTTGTGGAGCGATCCTGAGCAATATTCCGAAAACTATTCTCAAAAAGTTCCAGCCAAATTTGAAATATTTCAAAAACCCTACGCGTCTATAGTTTTGAAATGCACTGTAGTATTGATGCAAGGATTACTACAGACAGGGCTCATGTATGGTGCCTACATAATAGTCTTAGGAAGCAGGTTCTTTCGTGGCACGAAAGGGCTCCAGCTGCAGCGCGCGTACTTCAGCCAAGCGGCAATGCATAGTACATTTCTGCCATGTGAACACAATAATAGAAAAGCTGACAGGATCGCTTTAATGAAACCGAGCATGCAAGATAAACTGCAACAAGGCGGTACGGGGAAGAGGTAGAGGCGGTACGGGGAAAGGACTAGTACAGTGCCAGGCAGAGACAGGCGGTTTGGCAAGCGTGCACCGGACATCGAACAGGTGGCGCCATGGCTCGATGAAATGAAAATCCGCCATACATGTATATGGCGGATTTTCATTTCATCGAGCCAACTGTTCGATGTACGGTGCAAGCTTGCTGTCTGAACTCGGACACTCAATGTGTAAACGGAATCGTTGTACACAATAAGAACGCCAAAAAGGGACAAAATAAACAAAAGTCGACAGCAGTTTGTCGCACTGGTACTTCCTCCAAGGCGGTATGGCGGAGAAATGCATATCACGTATGGAAAAGGCGAAGTCCCCGGTACGCGGTGGCCATCGGACCAACGATAACAGACACCACCATGGAAAATTATAGCAATAAAAACTGCTTTATGGCAGTTTTCTAAAAAAAGTTATTGTGTTCTAGGCCATGGACCCCGTCTAAAAAGTAAGAAATTAACGAAATGTGATAGCTGAAAATTAAAATTTCACACAAAACCTCACAATAATCACAACACTTGAAATGCTGCTTTCAACACTAAACTTGTACTCCACCAACAATTGGCGACATGCATGTCATGCATGCATGCATAGGAAAGAGGATCACGAGGAGAAAAGGTCTTCTACATGTTGCTTTTCATTCTGTGTGTGATTATTGTGAGGTTTTGTGTGAAATTTTAATTTTCAGCTATCACATTTCGTTAATTTCTTACTTTTTAGACGGGGTCCATGGCCTAGAACACAATAACTTTATTTAGAAAACTGCCATAAAGCAGTTTTTATTGCTATAATTTCTTCTGTTTTTTCTGTCACCAATCAATGAAATGCCCTATCAATATGTAAATGATGGCCTTCACATCATATCAATACCGTATTATACGCATTGATGTGCAAGCCTTTTCTTGCAGAAAATGGGACTAGCATGTTCTTCAGCTGCGGGGATACATGTGAGTAGTGGTGGACCGTGGTGATACCTTTTTTATACGGAGGTCATTCTGTGCATGTTGCTGTAGCAGAATTTCATGACTCTGTCATAAAATTGTCTTGCCTTTCAGATATTTCAGATTTCCCCAGGCGAAGCGCCAGCACCCCAAATCAAGACTTTTTTATTTTCCGTGGCGGGAAATCGAGCTTTTCTAGGTATCTACAGCCTGTAGAAATTCAACGCTGAGAATTTCCAACTATTGTCCGGCTTTGGTCCTCTGCCACCGACATATCCTTTGAAGGAGAATGCTGAAACCAGTTGGTTGCTCTTCAGTAGTTCTTTCTCTATCGTATACATATTTTTGTATGTCGACACATGCCGTGTGCGACGACGTAGACACTTCTCAACACTTGAGTGACTTGAATTTGGCCATGATGACCGAATGTCATTGGACCGTGGAGTCGAGTAGAGGGCTCAGGCTCGATCGGCACAACGGGTACGTATAGCACAAGGGTAGGGCTAATGATATATCAAGTTGTTTGCTGTGCACAACCTTGGGGCGGAATTCGGCACGAAATTCTCAGCTCGCCAACTGTTGAGTATACCATGCAATACGTAGGTTTAAACTCATGTTACAGTGCTATCACGGTTGCAACCCTCTTTCAAAATGGTGACATAGCCAACAACCACATAATCAAGAGTCCATAATGGACTCTTGACATAATCCATATCAAATCTTGCCCCTTGTTTTCTTTCTAAGTGTGAGAAATAGAAATAATACCAGTCCTAATCATTGACATTGGAAAATGCAAATCACGGTCTATTATCGACACATTGTACTGTCACGGACATGGAAATCCAGTCGATTGACCGGGGCCGGCGCCCTCAGCGCGTACAGAACGTTGCATGCAGTGCACATGTTGATCCAATGCGACCAGCAGCAGCGCATGATAAACCGTGCTACGGCTGCATGGCCAGCGCCTTGGGGCCGCTATACGTGCGACCGGATTTCCATGTCCACGACAGTACATGTAGTACCATGCAGCCTGGTAGTGCATTTGGAGCAGGAAAGTGAATGGTAGCACTGCGGTGGTGAACACATGAGCTGATGACAACCATCGTCGTCTTGTTGGTTTGTGTTGTCACCAGTTCATTGCAGGTTGAACGAGGAATGAACGTCTACTCTTTCTTTCCAAAACTGGCTGGGCACACGCCAATGAGACGGAAGCTAGTGCCAAACCAGTCCTTGGAAGTTTTGTTGTGCTGCTGGACTTTTAATCATCATGTAAAGTATATTCCGGTTTCTGAGTCTTCGTGTGCGCCTGAAGAGCTACACTGTGTAGAGATGTTGGAAGTTTATCCTGCTCACGACACTGCACCAAGTACAAGCACTTCCCCGGCACTGCCTGAGCCCTGTTCTATGTTTACTGTGACCAGGAGAAACAACTAGAAATTTGGAGCTTGAGCTGGAATGCTGGTGCTCTCTCTCTCTCTCTCTCTCTCTCTCTCTCTCTCTCTCTCTCTCTCTCTCTCTCTCTCTCTCTCTCTCTCTCTCTCTCTCTCTCTCTCTCTCTCTGTCACGTTCTGCCACTGTCCGAAACCGGTGCATGTGCTAGCATGTCGAAGCGCATTGTGTCTGAGTCACGTACTCACTCTCCTGCTCCTCCCTCATATGCCCAAGACAGTATGACCCACTGTGAATGCAGTTCATGCCCACATGTGAACTTGTGTGATTCTCTTGTAGTAAGCTGACACGTGTGTACTTGCACGTGTTGTGTACATGTGTGTGTGTGTGTGTGTGTGTGTGTGTGTGCGTGTGTGTGTATCTATGGGACTGCGTTCTCCTATTCTCTCTCTCCGGTGCCTTCGAGGCCCACGCAACCCTTGTGGCAGTGGCTCGACAGCACAGGGCAGGAGTGTGCGCGCGTGCATGTGTATATGTGTGTGTGCGCGCACGCGTGTGTGCATGTGCATGTGTGGGTGTGCGCGCGTGCATGCAGATGCGCTGATGCTCAGCTCTCCAGAATTATGTCCGTGTGCGTAGCCAGTGTATGGTGGCAACATAGCCTTCCTTCATGTATAATTGTATATGTGTATGCGCATACTATTTGGGATGCTTTACTGTTTTTGGTGGGATCCAGTTACATAGTTTTCTGTTCAATTATTTATGTTTATACAGTTGCTGTATTTGTAGTGCAACTTTATGTCTTTCTGCTGGTCAAATTGTCGTCTTGATGGTGTTCTAATACTGATATACATAGAAAATATTACCCTCAGAAAGTGTGCTCGTTGTGAAGTTGTCCTTCTTTGGGCTCAAACCATTGCTCGTGTATAGGTAGATACATATCAGTGGGTTCGATTGGTGGCGAGAGGTCAGCCTAAATTGTTTGGGGCGGAATTCGGCACGAAATCCACGCTGAGTACTTTTTGACGACGAGTTGCGTCGGTCTTGAAAACTCTGGCGAGAAAGCGAGGAAAATGATGTCGCTTGGAGCTTTCCGCGAAACTTAGGGCAGCTAATGCCCGCACCTTCCCAAACATTGCCTCGGAACAAGACGATACCACCAGGGAAGCTCTTGTGTGCAAGGGATAAAATAGTCTCTTTTTGGCGATATTGAGCTGAGTTTCAAATTTCCCGGGCCTGGGGTCGGATTTGGAAAATAAAAGTGCAACTTTTAGGGCTCTTTTTCGGTGCTGGCGCTTCGCCTATCCCCACCCTCGATCAGATTTATTTGAGAAATGTAACCAGGTGCGTGTCGCAGATGTTTTTGTTGATTCTGTGTTTATAATGGTTTATAATCATGGGTTATCGTGATAAGGTCATCCTGCACCATATTGCACTGAAATCGTAACCCTGTTGATGTCGATACAACTTTTGGAAGTAGTTCAATGACTTCGAACTGTTAGTCCACGATTTTCTAAAACAACACAGCAAAGGAGGAACAATAAACATGTATTAAAATGTAAACAAATACATTGCTGAGTCCGACACCTCGTTCCACCAACTACACTGATCCTGAGGATAAAAGGGGCAAGGCTATGGTTGGAGGTACTGAGAGATAAACAAGGCACTCCATAATAATAGAATCGTACACATTTTTGGTGAGTATGAATGATATCCAGTCGAACCTCTTTAGGATGAACACCAAGGGACCGATGATATTTATTCTGTGAGTTTGTCTTAACCTATTTTATAACCAGTGAATACAATTATTTCTCCAATAGACATACGAATAGATTTCTTCTACAGCGAAAGATTCTAAGCCACACCAACTCATTGACTCGTCTCGTATGAAACAAATGTGTCACTAGAGAGGTTCTGCAAAACGAAAATGCGTACAAACAGTCGTTCCACGTCCTGAAGTGCGAAACTTCGCACAAACTTTCGCAACTTTGGACGCGAAACTTGCAGGGAACGCGAAATGAACAGTCGTACACACTTTCGTGAGATCGGGTCATGGCGTACGTGCACTTGGCCCGCGCAAACTACGAAAACGTGCAGAACGCAAAGTTTGTGCAAAAATTCGTACACACTTTCGCAATGACTGTCGCGAAACTTGTTCGAATTTTCGTTTTGCAGAACCTCTCTACTGAACGTTTCTTTAGCAACATGACGGCAACTGAAACAGCAACAGAGAAAGTACGATACATGTACAGCACATTCTTGCAGGTACTACAAACAGATTGCAGATCGTAATTCTTGCCTTGGCGGCACGAAACTTCATTTGGGGCAGTGCAATCTCGGCGGAACTCACAAATAATAAATCAAACAGCCCAGACTCGAGTAAACAAATCTAATCATACAAGTTTACTGAACCTCTCCACAATGGAGATTTTCCCTGATATGCGAATTTATTTTGCAAACTCGGTCAATGGGTCCTTGAACCTTTCCCTCCAGATTGGGAACTGCCAACGATAGTATGCCACTGACCAGTGCCTTACTTGTAACGTACCAATGTACAATGAATATGAGTATTTCGACAACACATCTAACATAAGCCTTACCGTCAAGAAGGTGAACTCGCGTTCTTCGCACACTGTAGACAAGGGCAAAGAGGTAAAAATGGATCTAAATCCGAATAAAATCAGCACACGTTTCCGTAAATGAAAGGGTGAGCATAAGCAAATGAATCGAAGGAAACCGGTCAACTCAGAGATCACCTGTCATCGAGTATTCCGTAAAAGGGGGCCTCGGCAGCGGAAAAGCTAATTTTAGAAAAGAGATCCTGCCAGCTTTTCCATTATTTATTGCATTCCGCCCAAAATGAGCACACTTTTCGTAAATGAAAGAGTCAACACAAGCAAAAGAATCAAAGGTAACTGGTCAACTCACCTGTCGATATTGAGTAATATTCCGCGAAAGGAGGTCTCAGCAGCGCCGAAACGAAATAAGCCAGGCCAGGATCTAGGAGACGAAATATCCGAAACAGCTCATACAAGAAGCAGTTCCAAAGGAGGAAGTTCCTCGCGCATGCACATCCGAACACGGACTGCATGCACTGCATGCAACACAATAGAGAGGTTCTGCTATACGGAACTACGTACCAAATTCCGTGTCAACTGCAGTGCAGTTTGACACGGATTTTTCCTACGTTGCACCGGTTCTGCTGTACGTAGCATGCACGAAGCATGCACGAACACCCCGCCACATATGTACTCTGTACGCTCACTTTTCACACGGAGTCCAGTCCGTGTGAAGCGAGCTTCACACGGAAAACGGTATGAAAAAATCAGTATCAAGCTAAATCCCGTACCGCGCGCGGCGAAGTTTCCATACGTACTTTGGCACGTTATACCGTGTGGCAGAACCTCACTAATGTCTGCCGTGCACGTGCACAGCACGCGGCTACCAACCGTTGGTAGATCTATACCGTACCGAGCACCTTACGTAGAGACTTACGTAGCCTAAGTGAAATACCGAGCACCTTACGTAGAAACTTACGTAGCATAGCGGTGTCGTTTTTCTTGCCATGTGAACACAATAATAGAAAAGCTGACAGGATCGCTTTTCTAAATAAGGCGCGAGAGCTCACCAGGTAATTGGGCCGCGCGCGGCCGCGGGAAGGAAGACAGAAAATAGAGGACCCAGCATGGGCCGCATTAGCGCGTGGCAAGCGCAAAATAATGGTGTAAGACGTACTCACGAATTGCGAAGGCCACCACCACGCGAGAGTGCGGCATGCGGCTGTGTACGAGAGTACGATGCCGGGGCAACGCAGGGTGGACCAAGCTGTGGTGGTGCTACACAGCCTACAGGCAAGAAGAACCTGACCTCAGCAGTTGGAGGTGGCGATCGCAGTGTCATCATCAGTTCTGGCAGCTAGCTAGCAGTAGCAGATGATCGATGGGCTTGATTTTTTTTCAATACTACCGGTATCAACGAGGAGCAGCAGGCAACCCTCGTTTCACAATGGTGATTGCGTAATCACATGGCAAAACAACAAAAATGCAACCCCATTCTACAGTGCTTTGATGTGTGTGTCTCGGGGGAGGGGCGATAACCGTAAAATCCCGCCAGAGCGCCCCTACCTCGTCGACGCTTCGAGTATTTTCAGGTGGGGAGGGCCAAGGGCCTAGGGGTGGATGGTATTGATATGATGTGAAGGCCATCATTTATTATTATTATTATTATTATTATGAAAATTAATGACCCAAAGGCAATGTGCCTATCGAGGGGTTCATTTGATTGAAAGAACAGTAGATGTAGATGTTTGTACAAAGAGAAGTAGGGATTGATGAGGAGAGAAATGGGGAAAATCAACTGCAAGGTGGCGGAATTCCGTTGATTGCATAAGCATAGTCAGCTGTAAATTTCCTGAGGGCAGCTTTGAACTTATAGAGCGAGGCTTCCGATGTTAGACTGGGGGGTAAACAGTTCCATAGAATAGCAGTTCGGAACATGAAGAGAGACTTAGACAATGATTTAAATTTGGGAAGAATGATTTTATTTGGTCGTCGCTCACTATATGGATGGGCGAGTTCAACTTGCTGCATTCAGTACGCACGTTACATGACAAAGTCACCCTACGAAAACTGTTCGTGCATCTCGTAGTGACTCGTACACCGACCAAATACATGTAAGTCCATAATTAGGCCATCATTTTATATTTAGAAAAGCGATCCTGTCAGCTTTTCTATTGTTCACATGGCAAGAAAAACCACACCGCTATGCTACGTAAGTTTCTACGTAAGGACATAGGTGCTCGGTATTTCACTTAGGGTGCGTTTGGTTGGTACGATCTAGAACAGGATCGAACAGCTGGTGCACATGGAGCAGCCTCATGCCAACCAAACGGTACTCCAGAAACAGAGCACATTTTTGTGGAAAAATGTGCCAAACTTGGTGCATTCTTCAAAATGTGTGTGGGTCACCATGGTCACTTTGTACGGTACGACGAGTCCAACCCAAAAGCGTATGCACGTGATCATTTGGGACCAAAATCGATGTTCCCGCCAGGTTTCTTTTTTTTCTTTTTTTTCACTCTTTGAGCCTCTTGTACGGGCAAAATAACTCATTTTGTGAAGAATCAACACATAAAACGAACCATCAGATACAGTATTTACAGAGTCTGTCACTCAGTAGGATCACTGCACTATGCAGGTTCACTGGATGCGTGCCTCCGCCGCCACTAGCACAGCAGGGGACTCAGGCACGGCAGGAGCAAACATGCTCCTTGAGCCACGCAGGCACATAGCACCACAACGCACCAGGGCAAACCCAAGGCGGCAGCGCAGCAAGGAGATAATCTGCCCGTATGGCTCCTTACTCTTCTCAGCCAGGAGAGAGGCGATCCGCGTGAAAAGAGCATTGGCATGCTTGCCATACCCACCAGAGGCAGAAAGCACAACGGGCACGAAGGAGGCATGCTCAACTTCACGTACTCGCTCCTCGTACTTCCGGCGCTTTTCCTGTTCATGGCGTCTGTAAGTAGCAGCGAGGGAGGTGGCACGATTCGAAGACGCAAAAGGGTTGAACACCCGTACATCAATAAAGATGCGCTCGAATCGGCCACCCCACACACCACTAGCCGCAACGTCCAGCCCGTGACAGCTGTGCGATGGCGGAAGGCCTCTCTGGTGACGGGCTGGAGGTGGGGTTCCACTGTCACGTTGTGAGCGACCTGCCTTAGACTAGTTAGAGCTCTGGCGGTGATGTCCCTCACCTCGTTATGTCGCAGCGTCGGGAAGCCACCAAACGGGCACGACAGGGCGTGACTCACATTCAGCGGCTTACTGCACACGCAGAGGCTTGGGAGCCGAGGAGGTGTCCAGCCGTACCGGAGGCACAGGCCATCCCGGAAATCTCCCTTGCTGAGTGTGAAACCATGGCGGCTGAGGGGGCGGTAGGTCAGCCAGCTGGATGCACCCTTTTCTGAGGCCAGGTCGAGAACAGGGGCCAGCTCCCGGTGATCCGAGCGAAGAGCGTCAGCCATAGACTTGAACGCGCTCCGCTTCTCGGCCCGAACCGTCGCCTTGAACGTCCGGAGCTGAGTCAGAGAGTCGCCAAGAGACGACTCCTGCTCCAGCAGGCGAGACACGAGGCTAGCCGTGATCCTTCGGGATGAGGTGTACTGTTCAGCCACTGAACAAGGGTCTGCCATACCCAGTCCCCCAAGCCGGCAAGGCAGAGAGAGTAGGGAGCGAACAGTTGTCCCAGGTGAAGCCTGACCCGTGATGGCCGGGATGAGCCGACCGCTGATTGCGTGTTCCAGCGGTTCAAGCAGGGACGGCGGGATGGAGGAGGTCCGGCAGAGGAAGGACCACTTGTTTTGCAGGCCCTGTGTGAAGGCGGAGTAGGCGGCCTGTGGCTGCGATGCAGCGATGGTTTCACTGTGAAAAAGTGAAACTGCTCAGTCTGCTCCGGCCTCGAGGCCGGAGCAAGCAGAACATGTTCTGGCCGACCCAGAACAGGTGCAGTCCCAACCAAACGCGCTGTTCTGGTGAATCCTGTTCTAGTTCGTACCAACCAAACGCGCCCTTACGTAGTGTTGCTTTTTAATTTTAATCTTGCCCGTAAAACGTCTCGGCTTCCTCCGGAAAGCCTCACGAGTGCTGGACTCCAGGTGCCGTGGAGTGATATACAAGGGCTTTGTCCGCCCGGTTTTGGAGCACGGCATGCTCGTGTGGATGAGCGCTGCACCCACCACTCTGGCTCGCCTCACTGCCATCCAACGCCGTGGCCTTCACCTAATCGGTGATGGAGCCTACCTCCCTAGCTTGGACATCCGCAGAAAGGTCGGAGCACTCTGCTTTCTCTACAAGCTCCACTTTTCAACTGGCCCAGACATGCTTCTCACCCTTCTTCCACCCCGAGCGACCAACACATCACGCCATAGCCGACGCACACAAAAGCATCCCTCACACCAGTTTCAGCTCACTTCCACTCTTCCGCCCAGAGCACGGAATAATGTCCTTCGGTCCTTCCCTGACGCTGTTGTGGAGGTCTGGAACCAGCTCCCGCAGTGCGTTCTGCTGAACCAGCCAACAAGAAAAGGACTGCAGACGTTCAAAGAAAAGGTCAACACCCACCTGCGCCTTACCCGCTGGGAGTGGGCAACGGACAGGCTATGAATCAAAGACAAAAGACGAAAAAAAGCTCTAACTCTGTTCCCTCCTCCATTCACTTCGTTGACTCTCTGATAACTTCTTATTGTGCATACTTTTCCCCGTAATCCCCAGTTATCTACCCCCCCCCCCCTGCGTATTTTCTGTAATCTTTTGCTTTTGTGGAGCGCTTGGGTTACAATGAAGCCGAGACCCTATGGTCGGTCAAGCTGCCCCTGCCTCCCCCCCCCCCCCACTCCTGCCATTCCATATGTCCCATCGCTGCCTTGCTGCTTTGTGCCGTCAAATGGTGTGTGTTTTTTTGTAAAAAAAAAAAAAAAAAAAAAACTTAGGCTACGTAAGTCTCTACGTAATTAAGGTGCTCGGTACATGTATTAGATCTACCAACGCTTGGTAGCCGCGTGCTGTGCACTTTCACGGCGGACATTGTGTTGCACACGGGCAAGACTGGTGCAGCTATGCGCATGCTGAAAGAGACACCCGACAGTGGCCCCATGCGTCTGGATGATAAAGTTGGCAATCAAACTGTCCGTGACATCCTAAAGGACAAACATCCTGCCGCTCAGCCAGTCGACCTGTCAGCTGTGATGGACGGACCAGTGCCCCCCACACCTCACCACATTATGTTCGCTGCCCTGGATCGAACTATGATCCGGAAGGCTGCCCTGCAGACAGAAGGAGCTGCTGGCCCATCAGGCATGGACGCATCTGGGTGGCGACGGATGTGCTCAGCTTTCGGCCAAAACTCAGACCAGCTCTGCGATGCCGTAGCATCATGTGCAAGAAGACTCGCAACCTCCGCGGTGGACCCGGCTGCACTGGAAGCCTATGTGGCGTGCCGACTCATGGCGCTCGACAAGCAGCCAGGCGTCA